ATTGGAAAGGGCATCAATGAAAAACCCGCAGCTAACATCACACTTAATGATGGAAGAGTGAGTGTTGTCCCCCAGACCAGGAGCAAAGCAAGAATGTCTGCTTTCACTGCTTCCATTCAGCATTGCACTGCAGGCTCAAGCCATTGCAACCAGGCAGAAAATAAGCAAATAATTAAGGAAGAAAGGAAAGAACAAAGGTAGAGAAGAGGGAAGGAAGGAGGGAGGGAGGGAGAGAAGGAAGGAAGGAGGCATGCATCCCAATTGGAGAAAAAAAAATAAAAGTATTTACAGACCATATTATGGTCTATGTTAGAAAACCCGATGGAATCTACAAAGCGGACTCTAATAAGTGAATTTGACAAGGTTATAGGATATAGCAGCATTACAAATACAGTTGTATTTCTAAGTATTAGCAGTGAACAATCAAACTAGTTTTTTTTTAAATATCATTTTCAAGAGCATCAAAAATGTTAAAAACTTAGGGATAAATTTGGCCAAAGATGTGCAAAATCACAAAACATTGCTGAGAGAATACAAAGACCTAAATAAATGGGTGAATATATCCTGTTTTGAAAACTCAATTTTGTTCAGATGCCTATGCTCCCCAAATTGAAGTATAAATTAAATGTAATCCCAATCAATATCCCTGTAGGCTTTTTGTAGAAATTGACAAGCTGTTTCTAAAATTCATATAGAAATGCAAAGACCCAGAATAGCCAAAACAACTTTGAAAAAGAAAAACCAAGTTGGTGGACTATCACCTTTTCATTTCAATACTTATAATAATGCCACAGTAATTAAGAAATTGGCGGCATTGTCATCAAGATAGACAAATAGATCAATGGAACACAACAGAGAGTCCAGAAATAGACCCACAAATATGGACAGCTGGTTTTTGGTGAAGGTACAGAGGCAATTCAGTGGAGAAAGGAAAGTTTTTTCAACAAATGGTGCTGCAACCATTGGATATTCTTATGCATAATAATTAATTTTGATCCATACCTTACACCCTGTAACTCAAAATTAATGATATATCTAAATGTGAAACCTAAAAGTATAAAACTTCTGGAAAAAAAAATAGGAGAAAATGGTTGTGACCTTGGCTTAGGCAAAAATTTCTTAGATTTGAAACCAAAAGCACAATCCATAAAAAGACAAATTGATAAATTAGATTTCATCAAAATTAAAACTTGCTGCTCCTCAAAGGAGTATGCTGTTAAAAGAATGAAAATACAAGCCACATACTACGACTATGTGTTGGCAAAGCATTTATCTGATGAAGGACATGTCTTCAGCATTCATAAAGGACTCTCAACCCAACCATAAGAAAACAACTTAATAAATAGCAAAAGATTTGAATAGACACTTCAACAAAGAAGATATACAGATGCAAATAAGCACATGAAAAGGTGTTCCACCTCATTGGTCATTATGGAGAAGCAAATTAAAACCACAATGAGACACCACTACATACCTGCTAAAATGGCTAAAATTGTATTTAAAAATGACGGTACAGAGTGTTGACAGATATGGTGCAACTGGAACTCTCAAAGTCTGTTGGTGGGAATGTAAGATGGTACAACCACTTTGAAAAACAGTTTGGCACATTCTTAAACAGTTAAACCTACAGCTGCCGTATGGTCCAGCCATTCCACTCCTAGATAAATGAAAGCCCAAGAAAAATGAAAGCCTCTGTGAATACAGACTTGTTCACAGCAGTTTTATTTGTAATTGCCCCAAACTGGAAACAGCCAAGTGTCGATCAATAGACGAATGAACAGTCAAATTGCAGTATATCTGTACAGAGAATTACTACTCAGCAATAAGAAGAACACTGATACATGCAACATCATAGATGAATTTCAGAATAATTATGCTGAGTGAAAGAAGCCAGACCAAAAATAAAGGACATCATGTATTGTTCCAGTTATATGAAATTCTAGAAAATGCATACTATTCCATAGTGATAGGATGTCAGTGGTTGCCTGGGGATGGGGGGAGGAGAGGGATTAAAAGGGGATGAGGGGGCCAGCCTGGCGGCATAGTAGTTAAATTCTCTAGTTCTGCGTCTGCAGCCTCAGGTTCACCGGTTCGGATCCTGGGCGTGGACCTACTCACTGCTCATCAAGCCATGCTGAGGCAGCATCCCACGTAGAAGAATTAGAAGAACCTACCACTCAAATATACAACTATATACTGGGGCTTTGGGGAGAAAAAAAAAAAGAGGAAGATTGGCAACAGATGTTAGCGCAGGGCCAATCTTCCTCAAAAAAAGATGAGGACCCTCTTGGGTGTGGTAGATATGTTCATTATCTTGATTCTAGTGGTAGTTTCATGGGTATATGCGTGTATCAAAACATATCAAATTATACACTTTACATAGGTGCAGTTTATCATATGTCAGTTAAGCTGTTAAAACAATAACAGTAAATATATATTTTTTGAAAATCCTTCCCCCTCCCAGGTACCCCAACCCCTGCAACTACCTAACTCTCCTCCTTTCACAGCGGCCTTCTAGATATGCTGCGCTCCTGTGCTCTGTTCCCTCCCCCATTCACACTCCTGCTCACCTCCTCCCACCTGTCCCCAGGGCTGCCCTTGCCAAGGTCAACAGCTGCCAGGTTCTGGACCCTTCTTTAGTCTACAGATTTCTGAAGGTCAGGACACGGGATCAACATGCTGTTAACAGTATACGCTAGTTGCATTTTCAAGTAACAGGCTCCATGTGGTTCTCTTCAACTTACACACTATTTTCCTTGTTTCTTAATTTCTTGGACACTCTGTAGAGAACTTGTGCTTTTTCAGATTAACAGTTAAAGCTGTAGTTTTGAAGTTAGTGGTCCCTCACCTCTAAAGATGTCTAGAGTTAGAAGAAAAACACATTGAGCCTATTATTGAAAATGTAACTAACATACTCTTTAAGAGTGTGTTCGTGTGTTTCCCACCTTTGGGGCCCTTGTGGATCCTTAGCAATGCCAGCTGCTGCTGCCCACACCCTCCTACTCGAGACGCTTCCCTCCCTGCCTGTCAGTAAGCATGCTCCTGATTTTCTCCTGCCCCCTGGCCACGTGTTCTGAGTCTCCGCTGGGCACCTCTTCCTCTGCCCAAGTGTGCACTGTGGCCCCTGGAGTTAGTCCTACAACTTCTTCTCTTCCACATCTGCTCACTCCCCGGGCAGGCCCTTCACCATCCGGACACCAATGCCCCCAGTTCTGTCTCCCTCCTGGGCCTGTCCTGTGCTTCCAACTCGTATCTTCAGTCCCCCCTTGACATTCATAGTGTCTCTTCCACAGGCTCAAATCAGCAGGTTCAGAACTGAGTCCTCTCCCTCAACAAGCCCCAGACCCCACTTCTCATTTCTCAGCTGGGTGTGGAGGCACCTGAAGCCAAGGGAGCCTGGTGGACCTGGGAGGTCAAGATAAAAGGCGTGTTGAGGCGTGTGGATCAGTGGTCTGAGGCCATGTTCTCTGCTCAGAGGGGTGGGGACTGCTGTTTACTAGTATTTAATCTGGGGCAAGTTACCCTCTCTGAAGGCAATACCCACAATGGTGATAATGCATCGCCTGTTTGCTGGAGCAGACGTTTTAATGAGACAAGACTTGTGTGGTGCTTGAAATGGTGCCTGACACGTAGGAAGCACACTGGAAAGAGTCCAGGTGATGGTGGTGGTTAGTGTTAAAGGAAATCTGCTTGTGTCCTTGGATATTCGCTTTGATAACACACCGAAAGAGTGGGACAGGGTGCCCCCCTTACAGCACTGTTCAATTCAGAATGCGTTGAGCTCAGTGAAACAACAGTGAGAAATCCAGTGTTCCTTTCACATGGTTTCACACGAATCTGTTGCTTTTCTTAAAAATACTGTTAACCTTTGCCTTTAGAGGCACTGAAATATTTCCTTCAAAATTCTACTAATCAAATTTTCTGGGGCTGGCCCCGTGGCTTAGCGGTTAAGTGCGCACGCTCTGCTGCTGGCGGCCCGGGTTCGGATCCCGGGCGCGCACCGACGCACCGCTTCTCCAGCCATGCTGAGGCCGCGTCCCACATACAGCAACTAGAAGGTTGTGCAACTATGATGTACAACTATCTACTGGGGCTTTGGGGGGGTGCGGGAAAGGAGGAGGATTGGCAATAGATGTTAGCTCAGAGCCGGTCTTCCTCAGCAAAAAGAGGAGGACTAGCATGGATGTTAGCTCAGGGCTGATCTTCCTCACAAAAAAAAAAAAAAATTGCTGCAGTTGGGCTATCACAGACAGGTGCAGGCCTGAACTAAGAGTGGAAGTTTGAGCTTTCGCATCAAAAGGAATAGGAATTGTGTCTGCAATCGCTCATTCATGCAACAAACACTTACTCCAGCCGCACTCACTAAGCTCTATGCCCAGGGGATGTAGTGGTGGGTCTGTTGTGGCTCCTGCCTCAAGAGCCCCCCTCCAGCAGTGAGAGAGACAAACCTGTTGGGATACCGTAGCAGGTTGGGGTAACCGACAGCACAGGGGGTGGTTGGACCTGCCCCACCAAGGGTGAGGAGCCCAAGAGCCTTTCCCCAGAGATGATATGAATGCTTGTCCTTGAAGGCGTCGTAGTTTTCCGGCAGGAAAGGGGCATCCCTCACAGAGGAACACCACAGGCAGAGCCTGGCCCGGCAAAGGGAAAGACCCTGGGAAATTCAGAGAAACCACAAGGGAGTTCAGGGATGGCTGGGGCCTTGGGCAGCTGACAGCTCTGGGAGAATGGCAGGGACCTGCAGATATATCATAGACTCTCCGATGGTTTCATACTTTCTTTTCTGAAAGCAATAGTATGTCACTGAAAGTGTTTAAGCATATTTGTGTTTCAGAAAGTTTTCTGGGACTATAAATAGGATGGGTACCGATGTAAAGTCTCATGGTGTTGGGAGAGCAATATTGCAAGGATGGCTTTGCACATCGCTCCTTAGCACCCAGATGTCTGCACTGTGGCTGATCAACGTTCCCTGAGCACCCGTGGTTCTCTCTTCACTGCAGGTGCCGTTGCTCGTGTGAATCACTAACAAGATCAGATTGTGGCAGAAACCCACCTGTAAGACGTCCACAATCACCACTCAAGGACTCCATTGTGGCAAGGGGCGTCAGGATTTGGTGTACTTTCTTGTCTACAGGCCAAAACTCGCACAGTTCATTTTCAGTCCTGTATAATGGTTCAGAGGGAGGGGGAAGTGCTGCTCTGCTGCATGGCTTGTGTGCCAAGGATATGTATTTGCCTCTGAATATTTAAAGTTGCCAATAACTATTCTTGTTGGCAGGTTAGTGGGAATATAAGCGTTGGAGCCCAACACTACACTGAATGATACTGATGGGCGACGTGGAAAGAACCATGTCTTAGACCGATTTTGGACCTTTGAGATTTTTACCACATATAGGTGGTTAAAACCATTTAGTTGTTTAAAATCTTTTGAGTTCTAGGAAAAATATATAAATCAATGGAAACAATCTGAATGCAATGCTCTACATGATGCTCCATGTTTTGTAGTAAGAAAAAAAGACGCAGGAGGCTTTTTCAAATGTGACTTTGTTGAGTAATGAAACTATTGGATTTTTATTCCTCAGAAATTTGGGGTTGAAACCTCATTTGGGTAGCAGACCATGATCTGACCAATTAAGCTTTTAAAAATCAACTATTATCACCCAGAATAACAATCATACTTGATGTGTGGACAGGACATTTCTGAGTTTTCCAATAGGTAGCAGTGGCTGAGATCAGAATGACATTGGAGTGGGTGATCAGTGCCCCACTTGGACACTGTCCTCAGCGGGCTGTGAAGTAGCATGGGCCTCCCCCAGGAGGGCTGTGTATGGAGCCCGGTAACATCCTTGGAGATCCTTCCTGCACAGGGCCAGGAGCAGAAATGTTGGGTGTCTGCATGTCGCCAAGATCAGATCAAAATTGTGCAAATATTTCATGATTTGTGTTCGGTTTTCACATTCTTGCCTAACAGATCATGGCTCCTCTTGTCTCATGTGGCAGTCTCTCGTGGCACACGGTTTTCAGCCACCAGTATTTGTAGTGAAGTTTGACTACAGCAGGAGTTTTTCAATCCATCTCTAAAATGTTTTGTTATATTGAAAAAAGCTCTCTAAGAGATCAGTAGAAATAAAGAGGAGTTCATGAAATAAAATCTCTGTCTTAATAAAACAACAGCTATGGTGAGATCATTCAGGCGCTAGGTAGAATTGAACCTTCGCTCCGTGTTGTCTGATGAAGGTCGCTCCCCTTCCCGGTGCGGCAAGAGCACCCAGCCAATCGCTCTTAAACCACACTGTCTCTACGATTTGTCTTTGAGTGCCACAAATAAAATAAAATGAAAGTGTCCCCATTGTGTGAATCTCATGACTTAATACCACAGTCTGTTTGGATCCCCTAACCCCAAAATAGAAAGGGGAGGTTCATGTATTCCATCAGTTAATATTTAGAGCTGCCTTCTCACTCCTCTAGGCACTGGGTTATAGCAGATAACAAAACAGACAGGAATCCCTGCCCATGTGGAGTTTACATTACAGTGGAGGAGACACCATAAACAAAACAAGGAACCAGAATGGTGAGTGTATTTTGATGCTGAAAAGTACTTAGGAGAAAATCAAGGAAAAGGATGAAGAGTAAATAGGGTGATGAAGAAAAGCCTCTTGATGCAGTGACATTTGAGTAAAAACCTGAAGGAAATGAGAGAGCAAAGCATGAGTGGACACATAACTGGCCAAGAGAAGAGCGAGTGCCAAGGCCCTGGGGCAGGTTGGCCTGGAGTGTTGGAGGAACAAGGAGGAGGCTCCTGTAGAGGAATGGGTGGTCATGCAAAAATGTACAGTTTCCCCAGCCTCTGGCCCCCGATCTTCACACACAACTTGGTGCCCCCATTTCCCAGACCAGCCCTGCTCCCCAGACAGACCAAGAGAGTGGCAGACATGAGAGACCCAGAAGCGAGCCTCAAGGATGAGAAGGGTTGTCCAGTTGAGTGCACCTTCACCCCTGGTTCCTCTTCCTCAGAAGGGAAGGGATCGTGTTTATGCTAAATTTATTCTTTGTTGACATTACATTATGTTTTACATCACAAGCCATGCTGAAGCCTTGGGTTGAGACGTAGAGTGGGGACTCGTGCCGCCTGCTGCGTCTGGCTTTACTCTTTTTGCAGGGTTTTCATAGGTGTCCTTGGTTGCTCTAGGTAAACCTGAGTGGTCATGAGGCACCATTTTCCAGAGAAGGAAACTGAAGTCCAAGAAGATTAAGCAACTGATGAATCACTGTAATCACATTGTTCTCGTTCTTAAAACATCCCTTCTGTGCTCCCTCTTCCTACAAAATCAAATCTAAGACCTTAGCCTATTAGATTCTTAGTGGCCTAGGTCCCCCAACCTGTTTCCCATGTCTATATGGACCACCACCCAGTTGTTGAATGCACGCCAAAAGCACCTGGCTCTCCCCTTATTCCTTGCACATTTCCTCTGCCAGAAATGTGCAGCATCCACCTCTGCTCACGCCGTCGACTGGCACATCCACCCCATCCTCGAGACTCCGCCCCTGCATGTGCATCCTCGTGGTCAGGCCGTCCTCACCACTCCCCTGCAAGCTCGCTTCTCTCTGCTCTCCCTCACAGACATACTCCTCTGGTCTGCCTCACGCATTTCTGACCATAGCAAGTGGCCTTAGGGCAGGAAGCAGATCTGAATGAACTCTCTGGGCCCAGAACATATTAATACTTATTATTGGTGTCCCCTCTTTCTCCCAACGTGTCCCAGTTTAGACAATACATTCCGTGGTCTCCTTCACTGTCTGGTCCAGATGAGGTATTCAGTAAATGCTCAATGAAAGAAGGAGTGTCGTGGGAGGCTGGGTTGGAGCCCAGCTGTCCTGTGTCTCGTCTGGAATTTTTCACATTCTTTCTCTGCCTCCATTTTACACATAATACCCAGGAGTGAGCCCATATAGATCCTTCCAGGCCTCCCACCAGGCTGATGTCCAGAGTGAAGGCTGTCCAGAATCTTCCCGGATGGATCTAGCTCCTGAACCCTGCTCATCACATAAACCATGAACTTGTTCATAACTGGTACGTCGGCCTAGAGGTGTTTGACATCCACCTAACAATCTCACGTTGCCTCTTCACCACTGGCATCCACCGTGTCCTGCTCTGGGCATCTCTACATAATCTCTGATGCCCCTCTGGGCTGACAGCACCCACATCTGTCTCCCTGGGGATCTTTCGCCTAAGCTCCTGATCAGAAATGTCAGCTGCCTGCGGCACCTCTCACTTGGATGCCCAGCCAACTTGCTGTGTCCAACCAGGACCTGGCCCATTGCGTCCCCCCTCACCTGCCCGTGACTTCTGGAGTGGCCCACTTCTTTGGTCCTCCAGTCACATAAACAAGTGAAACCACTCACCCATCTCCAATTTCTTTCTTTTTCACCTCCCGCAGCCATCAGGCATTTAAACCTGTTGCTTCTACTTCGATGGCATCTCTTACCACCTTGTAATTATTCCAGCTTCTTAAAAGGTTAGCCTCTTACCTTTTGTCTTGGTCAACTCAGGCTGCATAACAGAATACTGCAGACAGTCGGCGTAAATGACACACTTTGACTTCTCTCAGTTCTGTAGGCTGGGAGTCAGACGGTGCCAGCAGAGTCAGTGTCTGGTGAGAGCCTGCTCCTCGTTCGTCCACAGCCATCTCCTCACTTGTCTTCACACGGCAGAGAGAGAGATCATCTCTCTCCTTTCTGTTCTTATGAGGGCACTAATCCCATCATAAAGGTTCCATCCTCATGACCTAATTACCTAACACCCTAACTACCTCCCGAAGGTCCACCTCCCAACACCATCACATTGGAGGTTAGGGCTTCAACATATGAATTCTGGGGGGACACAAACATTTGGTCCATAGCCCCTTTTAACATCTTCCTTACACTGACCCCAGAGTTAACCTAACACAGGAGCCTTTGTGGACCGTGAGCTCCAGGATGTTCCATTCAACTCCGTGAGGGATCCACGTACTAGGGCAGGTCTTAATTAGATCTTCATCATTCCAATTCCTGTGTTATATTGCTCAGGTGGATTGGAACTTAATAAGGATGAAAGTGTGTGTAGTTATCACACCCATTACAAAAACAAAAAGAAAGAAAAGAAAAAGGAAAAGAGCTGAGAAAGAAAAATCCCACCACCAAGCCCGTCTCCTTCTGTGTTCAGGAGTCACTGGTCCACGTGTCCCTTCTTAGCTCACCCACATAGGTGAAAAGGAAGGGGAGAGTATGAGCATTGTACCCAAGTCTCCTGGGGCAGATTCCACATCAGCTCCATCCTTAAGAGAGGCCCCGACCATGAGCTCAAACCATCAGCGTACAGGGGCACAAGTGGAGAGTTCGAAATCTGACCAAATGTTTGCTCCTCAAGTGGAGGCATGTGAGGGCCAGGAGGGGGAGGAGAGAGGGGAGATCAGGGAGGGAGCAACACCTGGGAATTTCCAGAAGCTGTGAACACGCAGCAGGGCCATGCATGCTGGAGAGGAGACCCAGGGGGATTCTGCACTGGGTTATTTCCACCACTAAGACAGTCCCAGGATTGACACTGCCACAGCCTAGTCTGTGTGTTTTGCTGAAAATGCAAATGTGTTCAAAGCTGAAGGATCAAGACAATTAAATTGGCACCTGCTCATGAGTGGTTTGGCCAAGTCCCTAACTGGGCACAAGTTAGGTGGGTGCAGGGGCAATAAGTTGCCCAGAACTGACTGGAGCCCTCTCTCTGCAGATGGAAGAAAACGCAGCAGCAGTGCTGGGTGCTCAGATCCTGGGCCCTTCAGTGTGGATGCAGAGACTGGGAGGAGCATCCTTCCCCATCCTTCTCCTGAGCCTGGGCTCCCTGGGTCTCCCAGATGGGCCGTGGTCTCTGGCCCTTCTCGCCCTCACTGGAAGACCCCTGGGACTCTCCCTCTGACTTCTGGGTGCTGCCACCTGCCCCCTCAAGCAGTGCCACGGACTGTGTGGTGGGGCCACCCTGATGGAGAGACCCAGCTGGACAGGCACCGGGCTTGGCCAAGGCAAAACTGTGCCCTTCCGCTTCCAGTTGGTGCCCTTCCACTCACCGTGGCCTGCTCAAACCTGCCACAGTGTGGCTGGTGCTACTGCTCAGCTTCATGACCCGTCCTTCCCCACACCCCAAAGACACTGAACTGCTTATACTTCCCCAAACAGACCTCGTGGGTCCGCTCTTCTATGCTTGGCACTAGAACTCCTATTCATCCTCCAAAACCCAGCCTTCCCGTGGAAACCTTACCTAACCACCTCACAGCCCTGCAGAGAGGCGAGCCCTGTCCTGGTCTTGCACCAGTGCTGCTTGTTGCTCTGGTCACGCCATACTAGAATCCATTGGCTTCTGTGATGGGGAGCTGCATCATGCCCACTTGGGGTCTGTAGCCTGGGAGTGCAACGCTAGTGCCATAGGCATTGGTTGAATTGAACTGGGTCTGCTCCAACACGACCGGTGGCAAATTCTGATTGAGCAGAGGGTGCAGGGCCTGGCAGGATACGAGCTGAGGGCGGATTTGTGGCACATGGGAGGGAGCAGGGGATGGTCTTGGGCTGTCAGAACTAAGCAGAAGAACCCAAGGTTCTGGGAAAGCAATACCCAGGGTTCCAGTAGGCTGAGGGGGTCTGAAAAGGAGCTACGAGAAGGGCCTCAAGTCAAATGTTCCCGTACCTG